TTTAAAAAAGTGATGAGTTATAGAAAATGAAAGAACATGGCCAAGGATGCAAATGAATGGTCGAATGAATGGATTCTCGAGTGGATGAGGTTCTGAGTTTGAGCCCTGCCATCCTAAACAAAATCACAGAGAGTCAATGAATCATCCCACACCGGGAGACTAAAAGCACGGGGATTCTCTGACAAACTACAAAGTTCCTTAAAAAGAATGAATGCCAAGTTTTAACAAGTCTCCCAGAAGAGTGAATGCATGCCATTTAATTTTGTCAGCTCAGAGTGACCCTGATATAACCAGACTCAGAAATTATGAAAAGAGAGATATAGTAACATCGCTGAAGAACTTAGGGCACCAAATTCAATAAACATTACAGAACAAACTCTATCACTCTATGTACACTATAACAATACGGGATTTATCTCACTAACAATGCAGTGTTTTATCTACATGAATGTATTTCTTACATTTTCACAAAAATTTTTAGTCACATGTATTATTTTTATAACCAACAATGTAATTTTAATATAAAACTCAGCCAATGTACCATACTACCAAAATGGAAAGCAAAACTTCACTTAATCACGATACACCCCAGAAAAACCTCTAAGGAATCCAATTTCTTTTTTTGGATAAAAGTATGAAGTCAAGCATTCAATAACCGAGAAAGAGAATGGAAGTTCTGTAATCTGGCCAAGAGTTCATGAAGCATTTCATAACCAGCTGCAAAAGAACCAAGAAAGACAGCTTCCTCTAAGATGAAAACCGTAAGGGTGTTCAGTCTCCTCTCCATTCAGTGTTAGACTGGAGAGTCCTGCTAGGGCAATTACATTAGACAAAAGAAATGAGGAAAGCAGATTAAAAATAAAAATGTGTAGCTGGGTGGTAGTGGTGCCCACCTTTAATCCCAGCACTTGGGAGGCAGAGGCAGGTGGATTTCTGGGTTTGAATCAAGCCTGCTCTTCAGAGTACCAAGACAGCCAGGGCTACACAGAGGAATCCTGTCTCAAACAAACAAAAGCAATAAATAAATAAAATATGAAATTTCTATATTTCTTCTGTATAAAGGTTTCTAGGGAAGTCACTAAGAACTGTTCAGAAAATGGAAAATCTGTGTAATGGGATCAGAAAGAAGAGCAGCAAACAATAGAAAGAGAGAGGGAGGGAGAGGAGGAGAGAGGGAGGGAAGAGGGCAGTTATCGAGACAATAACGATGCAAGTTCTCTAAAATCACTTTTGAAAACCTAAGCAAGTTTCCTCTATTTCAAATTTCAGGGATTCTATAACGGTTTTTGCTTTGAGTGGCATCCTTGTTTTCCAAAAAAGAATCCAGACTGAAAGCAAACAGCAGCAGCAGCAGTAAACTGAGTGATACCGTAGCATGCTGACTGGGAGAACACCTCACAATGAAACATCATAAACTAGTAATCCAGAAATACAGACACAAATGGTTTTGCAAGAACAATGAAACGTTCACAGGGCAATCTGCAATATTTAACTACAGTTTGTCAAAATCCAAAAAAGTAAAAATATGTCTAAAATAAACCCTATTTCTTCTTTACATATTCTATAATAGGTATGTTATATTCTGAACGTAAAAAAAAGCCAAATGGAAAACAAAGCTAGCAATGTATTCTTTCAGTGAATCCACAATGAAACTGTCCTTAGAGTTTGCCAGACATGAAAGCTGAATGTGCACCCTTCATATAACTCTCCTAACAGATCTTAAGCAGCTTCTTGGCATCTGTGATGTGGAGTGTTGGACATTTTATGGGGTTCTTTGTGATGAGGGAGCTAGCAGTGGAGGGTCTGAATACTGAGTATATTAAAGGTCACTAAAGCACTCAGTCAGCCATAGTCCACAGTTCTGCAATGGAGGAGGTGCTGGTGTGTGGGCAGGAGTTGAGAAAGTACCAAGCACAGGAAGCATAGATAGGGATTTTTATTGTAAGGATAAAAGTGACATTTAAAAAAAAGCCATGCATATAAACCCATCGGAAATATGTGCATAACAGGTATTCATAAAACTTCACTGTATCAACTCAACCCTACAAGAAACTGGAAAAGACACTTTTAAATGAAGAAAAAAAAAACAATGACAAAAATCAAATTTTGGTGATGCATTTGTAATGTAAAATACTCCTTATTTTACTCACACCATGAATCCTACCAAAGAAAATGTGCGTGGGTGACTATTTCCTTCTTTTTACCAAACGTTAAGAATCTTGTGGGCTGTATGGGGGGATATATTCCAGAATAAAGGGTGTATTGAAATGGAAGCACAGTGAGTACAAATTCTTTGAAAGGTGATTTGTTCTTTTCATTTTAGCATTCAAAAAGGGAATGTTTTCATTATAGAGTACACAAAAATATTCTCACTACATTTATACAGAACATATTAGAACCATTTATATAATGATCATCACCAAGCCTAGTGCACTACCACGAATGTTGCCAAGTCAAAACTGTGTTATCTTCTGGTTTATATACATAGAAAGGCATGTGGCTGACTTTAGATAACCTCGAACAGTTACGCATATTAAAGAGACTTCTTAAAGTATGCATGCTCTGAAAGCAAATAGTTACTCAAGCAGTTAAGCAGTTGCATAAACGGATCCACTCTCCATTGCTCATCTATTTATTCGACTTTCTGTGCTCCAACTATACATATCTGTGTAGTTTTGTGTATGTAATATATATTGGGTGTGTGTTATCTTTTCATAGAGATAGGCATCTTCCATATTTTGTCTTATTAAAATGTCTATTCTCATTTAATAAAACTATTCTTATTTAATGACTGAATATATTTGACTGCTTAGCAGTGGAATTTTAAATTATTGCATAATTTATGCTATCACAAACAATTGTGAAACAAACTTATGTAGAAATTCTGTATATCAATATGTTAAATTCCAGAAGTAGAACTAGTGGGTAAAATATTTGTGTACTTTAAACACAGTTGAATTGATATCCAAAGACTTTACACTAATTCACACACTGGACAAAAGAATGGAAGACATAGTGGTTTTTTACAGTTTTTGTTATTGTCGATCTTGCAGGAAAAGAAAATTTGGCTTGATTTCCCAGATACCTTGTAATGGAGGATAGTGAGTAGCTTTAATTGCACCTGGAAGTCATTTCCATCTCCAACGCAGGAAATGTCCTATTTGTCATTTGGTCATTTTCTGTTTATTAGTTTTCCTTTCTTTGTCATTTGTAGGAAGGGCATTAAAATTTTATTTTATGTTAAGATGTTTTCCAAATGCTTTCATTATTCTCATTCAATGGTTTGATTTTTGTTTTTCAGGATAGATGTTTTCTTCTTAAATAATAGCACATCTATGTATTTAGTGTAGAAGACTATTACTGTTAAGGTGGGTTTTAGCACAATGCTAGTAAAATATAGAATAAATATGGCCTTACCTTTATTTTCTACTTTTGACAGCGTTAATGATTATGTGTAGTACACAAAAATTTTGCACTTATTTCCCTATAATAAACATCATAACCATCAATATTCTTGAAAAAGAAAACAGGATTTCCCAAGGAAGTATCTTAAAGGGATCTTTAAAAAAATAACATGTAGGGCTGGAGAGAGAGCTCATCTGTTAAAGGCTAGGCTCACAACCAAAAAAAAAAAAAATGAAAACCCTCAGGAAAGATAACATACTTTTTTCTATAGTAAATGATAGCTACTCTATCCAGAAAGGAATACATGCATGAGTTACAAACCACAGATACTCTCTGTAACTTTATTACTTTTCTCATTACAACATCAGTTTTATAAACATGCATACATAAATATATAAGAGGATATGAACATCCAAAGTGACAATTCATTCTGTATTCCAAGTGTTCTCAAATGCTATGTCATACATGCAAGTTGTAACCGTGTGTACACATTGACTCACATGCTTTTGTTCATGTCTGTATTTTAACTAGCACTTTACCATACTTCTATGTTAGAACATTTAGGCCTTCCCAAAGTCTCGTGCTTTAGACTATGTATCTTCTGTCTCCTGATGCACCATAAAATAAGATTTTAAAAGATTAAGTGATTTTTTCCAATTTTGTGCTATTCTATACTAAGTTATTCTGTTCTTGCTGTACTTGCCCAGTTACCTGTAGTTGAGCCTCAAATGACTGAATAAAGAGTGAAGGAACTAGAAAGTTTATTAAACTTTCTTGTTGCCCCTATGTCAGCTGCTTCTTTTGGACATTTAAGGAATGTACTTACATTATGCACAAAGTGACAGCTTTGTGTCCTCTGTTCTGGTGAAGTCATTAGCCCATAAAATGTCACAGTGTGGCTAATTTAATGGCAATGCCATTGCTTCCTTATTTCCCATGACAAGGGGCAGGAAGCTGGATGTTGTGTGTTTACCTCTGCAGTATCATTTTGATCCCTGAGCTACCATGGAAACCAACCTTACTGCATAATGTGTTCATTTGCACATCTGTTGTTGCTGGCTCCACATAAAATGCTCCACACAAGATAAACCACAGCAAACTGCAGATCTTAAGAGTATATACATTCACACACTAAATACAAACTTCTAATTCCGAAAGGAGAATACTGTACTCTGATAATAGGAAAACACAAGCTCTATCTTGTCACACAGTGTCTGCCCATCAAACTTTGCACCGTTATCTAAACCTATCAAAGACCTAAGGAGGGGACTGGCTGCCACTGGAACCATTGGGAAGTGGCTGGAGAGGGTTGCCAGAGTAGGGTCTGCACCCTCAGGAGTTCAAGTCACTAGAACCAAAAGACTCTCCCATACAGCCTTCACCTGGCATGCCCCATTGCTGTTTCAGACCCGGGTGCAGATAGGACCGCAAGGCAGGAAACCCCGCCCCACACTTCCAGGCCAAAGTTGCGCAAGCACCTGCGGCTGAGCTCCCGCCAGGGGCGCTGCCCCGCCTCCACCACTGTCAGGGACCCCGCGGCCTCCCGCATCCCACAAACTTCCCGGGACCCCTGCCTCCCGAGGGCCCCCGCTCACCACCCGCATCTGCAGGCGCCTCCGGCTGCGCTCCACTATCCTGCCCCGGGAGGGCGGGAGGAGCAGAGGAGGTGGGGCAATCGAAGGCGGGTAGCTGGGCAAGGCTCCCGGGGAGGGCTTCCTGCAGGGTGGGGCTCTGGCGTTCTGAACCCCAGCCAAGAGCGCAGAAAACAAGTTGAGGGCGCCAACTGAGCACTCTGATTTGGCTCCTCTGTGTCCGGGCAGGCCTAGTTTCTCAGTGTCACCACTCTGATCTGGGAAGGAGAGGGGCAGTCGGGAATGGGGTGCTGGTGGGGGCAAGACCAGGCCTGCTCATGGTTTCTGATTCCAGTAAGAGAATATTGGTTAATTGGTTAATTAACGCTCTTGGGCACAAATACTGTATCACACTTAACACGGCTCAGCCCTGCCCAGGAATATGGAAGGAAGAGGGCGAAATGTCGGTTGACCTCACACAAAATCACAAATGGACACAAACAGATCTGAGAACTTGGCTTTGCTGTGCTCTGGGAGGAGTTTACATGGGGTAGGCACTTGGGAGTGAAGTCCTGGAATTTTCCATTTTGCTTCGCATTTGATTTGTCAGAGTAGATTTAACAATTAATAATGTTCTTGTCAGTAGTAACTGCCCAAAACATGTCTCAAATGAAGAAATAGTATTGCACTGAAAACATAAAACAGAGACTCTGACATCAAAGTTAGCAAAATTTAATGTTTAGCTTTGTTTTCAACTTGTTGGAGGGACCAAGAAATTGAGCTTGTGAATTTAAATATCTACAGTGGCCAAATGAGCGATACCAGAAATTCAAGATCAAAACGTGTCTGTGAACCATTGTTGGAGAGACAAAACAAGTATATGAGAGCAACCACACATCCGACTCACAGCCATGCCAGAACGACCAGAAATCAAGGAGTTCTGCGTTTTCATATCAGGGACCCTCCAACATGTACCTCCAGGGCAGGGCAGGACTGATGCTTTCTGACTCCCTTCTGCTTCCCACCCGTGTCTCTTTGAAATTCGTTTCTTGGATTGTTTGTGTGTCAGATTTACAACAGTCCGAATAAATGTGCTAGTTTGTATGTATTGGTCCCGATAAGCCCATCGGGAGTAGCATTCTTAGGAGGTGTGGCTTTGTTGGAGCAGATGCATCACTGTGGGCGTGGGTGGGCTCGGAAGTCTTCTTCGCTTAAGCTTTGCTCCCAGTGACACTCAGACCACTTCCTGCTGCCTGAGATCAAGATGTAGAACCCATAGCTACCTCTCCAGCACCATGTGTGCCTGCACACTGCCTTTTCCCACCATGGTGATAATGGACTAAAACTCTGAACTGCAAGTCAAATAAATGTTTTCCTTTATAAGAGTCTCCATGATCACGGTGTCTCTCCACAGCAACGGACACCCTAACTGACAGCTACTGTTGGAGTAGTCCAGTAAAATTCAAGTTTTCATAGTGGCACTTGGCATTTTCTCAGTCCTATGTTTCTGCTGTATGTTCACATACACATAAGTTATAAGCTGGGACGAGGTTTTCTTCAGCAGTCAATCACTTATCTTTTGCCCAAACTTAGAGAAAAAAATAAGATTGCATATGTAACTGTCAAGGCCAGCCGATGAGTCAACTGGGATACCTAAATAGGGGAGCAGGGATTAAAGAAAACAAAGAAGGCAAAACAGAATCAGGAGAACAGTCAGCCAATACTAAAGCCATGAGTTTCTTTCTCAGCCTGCTTATAAACAACCTAAAAGACAGAAGCAGAACAATGCTGACACAGTATAGACAAACGCTGTCTTAAGAAAACTACACCCCTATCCTGTCCTTGAGTCAAGGAAGAAGCAGTCGCATAATCTTCCACAATGCACCTCCTGCAAGTGTCTGTTGCCTAGACTTGTTCATTTAACTAGATGTAAGTTCTTTTCCATGGGCTTTATCAAAACATTCTCGTGACTCCCCACACTTTAGGAGCAAACAAGCTTGGACTCTCTTGACCTATAAGTCAAGCTGGACTCTGGATTCAGAATGGAATCGTTGTGGACTCCCAATACAACTTCCCATGCAAGCAATTTCTTGTACTTTATTATTTTTGTTTCTTTGCTTGCTTAAACCTGAATTTTCAGTTCTCCTGGAAATGGATTTTTCTTGTAGGGCACCACCACAACAGGCGATTCCATAGCTTTTGTAAAATCTGGAAATATTTTGTTCTGTATATTTCGTACTTTTGAAATTTATGAATAAGCACACTAAGTAATGGATTCCATTGTGACTTTTCTACCATGTTATCTCAATATACTTTGTTGTTATCCGTGTTCTCTCCACTACCCTTTCCCATTCCCCTTCTTCCTTCTTGTTAGATTCCTTTTTCCTCACCCCACCCCACCCCAACCCCCTTTCTGGTTTCATGTTCCATACATTCCATGAACTTCTGTTCTCATTAGTTTCTTTCTTGTTTGTGGGATAAAACACTTTGGCAAAAGCTACCCAAGGGAGAGAGGATTTATTTTGGCTTACAATTCAAGGCTAGTCCATTCATCGTGAATAGAGTCAAGACAGCTACAGTCTGAAGCAGCAGGTCATATACCACACACACAATCAGAAAGCAGATTAAAGAGTTCATGGTGATGCTAGGATAGCTTTCTAGTTAATGTAACTCAGCCTAGGGAATAGTGCCACCCAAGCCCAATTAACCTGATTAGGATGATTTCCTACAGACATGCCCAGAGATTAAAAAATCCTTCACAGATATTCCCAAAGGATTTTCTCCTATGTAATTCTAAATTCTAATACATTGATGGCACTAATTATCACATATACCCTTTCCTTCCCTCATGATCCATGGGGGAAAGAGATAAAAGCAGAGACAGAGAAGCAGAGAGGAGGAGGAGGGAGAAGAAGAAGGGAGGGGAAAGGAGAGATGGAACTATGTCTAAATCTAAAATTTCACAAATAGTATAATCCATACTTACTTATCTATGAATATGAGTGTAGTCTTTAACGGGCGCTGTAACGATATGCGATACACAATTACTGAAAGTAAAGCTAAGTATTTATTGTAGGAATTACTCACAAGATACCAAACCCAGAGGAGCCAAGTTGTTTTCAGCTGCCGAACCGGAAGCCGAACTCCAGGAAAAGAGACCGAGACTTCCTGTGTGCTGTCTTTTATGCCTTCCCCCGTAACGCCCCCTAGCCATGCCCAAACTGGTGGGCATGGCTAGTGACGTGGTTCCGCCTACGTACGTATACGTCTTTACGTCCAGCCGTATACGTCTTTAGTCCTGCCTAAAGTGGGTGTGGTTAGCGGTGTGGTAAACCGCCCTTTTATTACCTCATCTGTATGCGCCTCTAATAAGTCACATGTTTAATGGCGGCATCAGACTTCCTCCTACAATTCCCCTTTTAGTCTAAAAAGGACAACTAACTTGTGTCCATGAACAAAATGCATCAAACATCTATTCTATCTACCTAAACTTATCTGAAAGAAACACCCAAATATGAACACCTCCTTCCAATCCCAACTCTAAAATAATTGAAAACTAACACTAACAGGTGTAAACTATCTTATAATATCAATAGTAGGGAAAGGGGGCGTGGAATTCTCAAAACTACTTCCTGCTGAGATGGGACGATGATAATCTCATGGGGACCTGTGAAAAGAAAATGTTAGTATAACAAAATCTCAGTAGATCAGACAGTCTCAGTATGGCAGGAGATGCTTGATTGAAGTTCCTGACTGGGGTTCTAGTGTTGATTGAAGCTCTTATCTTGAAGCTCTGGTCAGATTGTAGAAGATGTGCTGTTTCAGTTTCTTGGTCCGGAGTTGTGTAGAGTGATGTAGTTTCAAGCCAGTTTCAGGATAGTGCTTGTCAGGTGGAGTCAATGATGTGGGGCAGTTCAGATGCCTCCAGTCGAATCAGGTGAAGTCAAGGAAGGGGATCCTCATTCTCTTTCTGAAGCAGTTGAAGATTGCTGTCAGGAAATCCTTTGTTCTCTGGAAAACTCAAACATTAATGTTAACAAAGAAATATTTTAACTTTCATATGTATGCATACAGAAGAGGTGACAATAGGGAAGATGGAAAACCTGGAGGAAATTAGACTGTTCAGAAAAAGAAATCCACAGATAACAGTCCCTCATTTTATTTCTTCTGTCTTATATCAATGGCTCTTTGATATAATACAGAAATTCTGAATCGTATTTAAATAATATGCTTGAGTTTAGAGTAGGAGAGCCAATCCAACTCCAAAGCCAGCTTCAGTTAAATGAATGGGGACTGAGGTATGTGAAGAAATAAAGATAAAAGGGTACTATGAAAAAACAATATAGAGAGATTTAGACTTTGATACCACACAGTGAGTTACTGTTTGTTTGATGTTCCTTAGGGTAGCTATTCATTCTTCTACAGGAATCCATATGTCCAGTATTCTTTGCTGAGTTTACCTGTGAATACAAAAAACAAAACACTTCTCTTTCCTTTTAGGAGGTCACTTTACCCATGGTGACTATGAATTTGTAGATGGGCTGTTATCTTCCTCCTCCTGAGATGTTTTCTGTTCTGATCGAATTTTAATGGAACCCAAACCTTTTCTTCTCCTGTGGAAACAAAAGCATAAGCCCTTCCCCAACGTAACACATATCCTGGTTTCCAGACTGAGGTCATACCATCCTTAAAATACACTGGTTGGTTCAGTTCAGAAGTCTTCTCTGTAGTCCAGTGTCTTTCTGCTGCAGTTTGTCCTTTTTCATCAGCATTAAGAAAATTCAATGTTAGTAAAGCATTGTGTAACCTATGTTTAGGTGTCTTTGTTTTCCCTGGCTGTTTATGAAGCATCTCTTTTAAGGTTCGGTTAGATCTTTCAATTATTGCTTGTCCTGTGGGATTGTAAGGTATACCAGTTACATGTTTTATATTATAATATTTGAAGAATTGTTCCAATTTACTGGAGACATATGATGGAGCATTGTCAGTTTTTATTGTTTTAGGTATACCCATAACAGCCATCACCTCTAAGAGGTGTGTAATAACAGAGTCAGCTTTTTCAGAGCTGAGGGCAGTAGCCCATTGGAAGCCTGAGAACGTGTTTATGGTATGGTGTACATATTTCAAACTGCCAAATTCTGGGAAGTGAAA